CGGAAGGGTTATTAAAGGGGTTAAAGGTACTCAAGCAAAGGACTTTTGTTTCTCATGACAGTGGGTGGAGGTTCAAGGTCATATTTAAGTATTTTGGGAAAGTCTTGAACCTGGCCCTCTTTGTCCTCAACAGCATGTGAAGAAGAGGCATCAGGAAGTATTTCGCACATAGTGAAAATGATGGTTGCAACAACCTTTGTTGTTCTTTCTACCCAATGCACTTAATCTATATTTTCTAAACAGATCTTTTTGCAGTTCCATCTCAGTTATTTTGCTTAATGGCTTTATATGAATCTAGTTTAAGGTGAACCAAAGCACTAAAATAAAGTGCACAGAATTCTCCAGAGGAAAGAACTTCACAAACTATTACACACCTCTACCAGAAAATCGCAGGTCCTATAAAGGATGTTTCTGTATTGGCATGGAAATGCTCTTGTATTTCAGTCTTTCCGCTGCAATTTTATGATTCTTTGATTCACTTGGATGTGAAATTGGTAAACCTGCTGCTCTGTTCTCCACCAGCTTTGACATGATTGACTTTGACTTAATATTCCCAGCTGAGGGTTGTTTTATTCTGTTGATATAGTTCCCTTCCAAACCCTTGTCATTTTTCTTTTTCATTGTATCTTGATTTCTGAATTATTGTCCTTATGTTAACCGTAGGACATGCAGCTAACACTGAGAATGGATATGTTTGCATTTGTAACTCCTTAAGCTTTTCTACCCTCTCATAAAAATCAAAAGAACATGTTCTTGATCATACAGGCAGATAAGTTGTGCAGGGAGCTGGGTCTCAGATAGTGCTGTGCTGATATTTTTTCTATAAAACTTCAAAGGTTGAGATTCATCCTTTTGTTTAAACGATATGGGGATTGTGCAACTTTTTAAGTATACAAAATATTACTCTTAAACGCAATTGACAGATTTCCAATGAAATTTCCTTAATGGTGAAATTTTTAAATAACAGCCTTTTATTATACTTTTCCTCTGCATGCCTCTCTTGTCTTGCACACCTGGAGGAAGGGAGGAGTAGGCAGGCCTGAAATAGAAGCTGAGCTGTTTTATTTCAGATGTGTCCTTCCCCACCCCTTATGTTCTGGTTTCATTAAATGAAGCGTTTTTTCATTTTACAAATGGGATAGTCACAGAAATCAAGCAATTTGCCCAAGATTTCCTAGGTACCCTGTGATAGCAATGCATTGTGCCAGATCACTTGGCTCCTAGCCTGATCATGGACTAATCACAACCAGCCCTTCTAGTCTATGTCACCACTAAGGCTATTATTTCTATACAAACATAATTTCTTTTGACCAAACAAACAAAAAAAGAATAGTTGCAAAGAAATTGCATTTGACTTATTTCTGTAGACTTGCTATCATATTAATAATTGTTCTCATTATTTTTCTTTCTAGAAAAATATTTGTAGAAATTTTAGGACCACTAAATAATCTGATCCACTCCATGTTTATTACTCTTCTTTCATCCTGTATTTTTCATGGTTGCATAACATTGCATACTTGGTTGGAGGGAAAAATCTGTTACTACATCTAAATCATCTTCGCCCATGCTTCTAGCTTCCCTTTCAGAACTCTATTAATAATTTTCGTTTCCCATATGCACTTTTTGTTTCCCATATGCACATTTTTGCCCGAAGCAAACTCTTCTCAGCGTTTATTTTTGGTGTATGTCCAACATTACTGTAATCCAGTTACAGTTATTTGTGCTGGTAGAATATCAGCTAAATCTATTTGTTCCATTTTGTCATGCCTACTTAATATTTTAAAAAGAAAATTAGTGAGATTTTTCCACAACAGTATCAGGTCAAACACAGTTCACACAACGTACTGTACAATATTCAGTTTTGCTTTGTGCACCAGTTATTATCAAATTAGAGTGATAGCTGGGCATGTGGATTTGAGCCATGTGTTAATTCAAGTTCATCCAGAAGTGCGTGCCATCCTGTCTAATACAATGGTTCAATTACAGCTGATGAAATTGCATTATCTTTTGAATCCATCTTACCATGTTGTCTAGCAATTAGTTTTTTTTGTCTCACATAGGCAGTGACAAACTTTAAAAAATATTGTGGACAGTTAAATCATTTATTAATAGAATTTTTGTTATTTACAGATTTGTCTAAATATGAAATATCCTAGAAGTGTCAGATAAGTTCAGGGAAAGTTCAGTGGTGTCAAATTCTTTTGGAAAAACAAACAAACAAACAAACAAACAACTTTTTCCACATTCTGATAAGAGGCTGTTTCAAATATAGTGTTTTAACAGCATATGAATAAACGTTACAGTCAAGAGGATGCCTTTGCAGTTCTGCCTTGTTCTGGTTGGGGTGTAGTAGGGTTGCTAAAAGGTCACTTACTGCTTTAAAATATAGCACTATGGGGCTTTGTGATAGACATTTTAGTGTTCTGGTACAGGTGGTTTGGTCCAATATTATTAGTGCAGACGTGTGTCTGGTCACAGAATGAGTAGATTCTTTCCACTCCCCAACCATGTTGTAGCTGTTGCTTGCCCTGATTTTTTTTTTCTATCTTTTCTGGAGTGGCCTTTTTAAAATTTATATGTGAACGTTTTTGACTTCTGCAATTAGCAAGATTTCTCCAAATAGCTTTGAAAGACATATTTAAACTGGTTTTTTTTAGATTCTGACTGCCATTTGAGAAAGCTGCGGTAGCATCCATATATTCTGGAGTGAACAGCGTAGCTTGCCATGTGACAAAAAAGCTGATGGTCTTAAGCTGATGGACAGTGCTAAGACAAGTCTATGATGATGAAAATGAAATCTGAATTTGGCCTTGTTAGTGTTTTGTCTTTCAATATATATATGGTATATAAATAAATATGTTAGTATTTTATACATTATTTATAGAATCAATTAATGGTAATATCCACATTTCTTACATAGAGGTAGTCCTGCTGGAAATGATGCAGTAATGATTTGGATTATCTTCTAGTAGATAAGTTTTTAGGTGCTCAGGGCTGAGTTACCCTTGAGCACTAGAGGAAAGCAGCTTTCTGGACAGCTCGCATACCTTCACTTCTTATGCTTGAGTAAAATTGCAAAAACATTGATTCGTTCTTGTGTATCTTTACATTTACTTTACAGGTAGCAATGATTATCTTGTAGACTCTCTTAGCTCAGATTTTTAAGTACTGGCTTCCTTATCTGCACCTGCAATTCAGAAGTGCATTAATATTTCTTTTTAAATATGAAGTGACCTTAACTGTATGCAAAGCTATGAGAGTTCTTGCAGTTGGGCACTTGTATGTGAAAGGACACAGCCAGGTGTATGATTTTGGCTTTTCAGCAAAGTTCTGAATAAACCTTGCATTATAACATGATTGTAGTATAGTTTGGGACAAACACCTTGAATGAAAATACCGTTAAAACTGATGTTACTTTCACATGTGACAATCTGGATTACAATGTTGTCAAAATAGTTTCTCCACTGTTAGAGCATTGCCATAATTTTTCATTAAGAATTACTGCTAGGTTGTATTGTTATGTATTTCAGTGATGCCGAAGCTTTGAGGAATTTTAGGTTAGTAATTTAAGAGGAATTAAATAATTGAATTAAGACTTATTGCACCAAAGCTTTTGTAAAAATTCATTTATCTCATTTGAAAGTATATTTTCAGATAGCCATTGATGTCTCTTTGTCTTTGAAATCTTAAAAAGTAAATTTGCTTTAGTCTTTGGAATCATAAAACTATGCATTTCACTTATGAATTCCATTTAATTTTTGTGTACTTAAATCCTAGTTGAACACCAATAGACATAAAAGGATTCTGTTACACAGTCCTGTATTTGTTTTTAAAAATCAATTGGTTATTTTCTATGGTTAAAAGTACCTAAGACACGCTTAGGTTAAAAGAAAAATCTCCAAAAAATGTAGATATATAGGGGTCCAAGATCCACTGAGTCTTAAGGGGCTAAAGTCACCTGAGACTGGAGTATATCCCTGAACCTCTCCAGATGCTTGAAACAATCAGCCCCGATTTTATATACTTTACACCCCTGTCATTTCTATGAGAAGAAAGAAAAGAGAATACTTGCAAATAAAGATTGCAGGAAAATTTAAGGAAAAGCGATCATATTAGTAAGAAAAATCCAAGAGGGGATTTACAGAAAACTCTCTACAGAAGGCTATTGGCAAGCAACAAAGAATTTGTAAGGGGTGAAAAAAAGGGGAGAAAATGATACATCAATCATGATCTTGAAGACCTTATGCACGAATAAATATATTCACATTTATCTACATAAACTGCTGGAGATTTGTTAATTTGTTGCATAGATCTTTTCTAGGTGGCTTTATTTTTAAATTCAGCGTCTTGCTCTCTTTCTGTTATGTTTATGTACATTAGTACATACCCAAGTTTATGCTATGGTTTAGCATTTAGGGCAGATAACATTCTTCCTGAACTTGTCATTTGCATCTCCTGGTGCAATTTTGTTGACGAGGTCTTTTCAGGCATGCAGGGAAAAAAAACACTCCTGCATCTGTTTTGATCATTGGCAAAGGGGTATCTTCTTCAGTAGTTTGTCTAGATGCTGTTTCCACGAGAAAGCACTTTGCCTGTAAAGCTTGTACATATAAATCTGCTTCAGCAGGGTGCCTGCAAGTTGTGTCAGGGTCAGCTAGCAAAAGACTAAATCTTCCTGAAACTTGCAAGCATGTTTTTTGTTTTGGTTTGTTTTGTTTTCTCCTGTGGTTTGTTATCCAGAAAGGGATGCAGGCGCGCGTCCCAGCCACGCAGAGCATTGATTGCTTCTGCCTGCAGCGGGGATGCTGTCAAGTCGCTGCGCGAGTGGAGTCCGGTATTGACACAGAGCTGCTGGCCAGCAGCTCATGCTGCGCCCTGCTCCCACCATGCCCTGCTGCTAGCTGCTGCCAAGGGGGCTGGAGAGGCCCCGGCAAAGGACCTCACGTCTGGGAGAAGAAGCACTTTCATGCAAACTGGCCAAAGGAAGCCCTGGGTGTGCCATGCACGCACACCTTCCCAAGCAGCACAGCTGCAGCAGGGGGTCCGAGGGGTCGGACGCCGGCAGGAGCGTGCCTCCCGTAGCGAGGGATGCCCACTGCGCCTGTCGTTGGCACCAGCATCCTCCGGGGCTCCAGTACAGCTCTCAGGCACTTCCCTCTTGGGGACCTGGGGGTGCCAGCCAGAGCAGGAGCAAGATTGTCCCTCTGTGGGACACTGTGCGGAAGAGCCCCCATAAATCCCCAGCCAAGCCACAGGGCAGCCCGGGGGAGTGGTGGTCAGAGTGCGCCTGTGCCCACGGCTGGTCCCCCCCAGTGCAGGTGAGCCAATTCTTCACTCTCCGGGCGACTTAGAGGATGCTCCAGGGAAAGAAAGCGAGGTTTGGTGGTGTCGGCAACTTTTCGTGCTGTGTCTTGATTTGTGTTTAGTGGTGCCTTCTGGAAAAATTATATGCAAGGGCGAGCTGTCGGTTGGTAATGTCTGTTGTTTGAATATTGATTCTCTGTGGCCTGTGGAAATTCTGGGGTCCTCTTGGAATGATTTTCATGTTAAAATGTTTTGGTTTCTACCTCCAGGTTCCATAGGCTTTGTATTCCATCGTGTTGTGTAAAGAAAGGATGTGTTTATCCCCCACCATGTAATGGGTTTTGCCTTCTTCTGTAAACAGTTTGTTTTCAAATATTGCATGAAGTTAATAAGGATATTTTAAATAGAGAACATGGGGGGGGGGGAGTGTTTTAGATTTATTAATAAGAGAAAGTGTGACCTGTTTTTCCTCTTTTGAACTCAAAATGTAAGTGTAATCTTTAATAAATATGAAATATCTCTTTAGCTTTCACAAATCTATAAATTTTTATTTAATGCCAAGGCAGTGTATTTTAAAATATAAACCAACCAGGGTCTAGGATGTGTACAGATACCTGTAAGCAATTAGACTGAAAATGATTCACACCAGATAACCCAGCGCTGTGAAACAGAAATCACAGTGGCACTCATATGGTGGTTAATATTAAAAAGCATTAACACTTCCTCCACAGATGCATGTTTTCATTTCTCCCTTAGAAAACTTTAAGCTTATTTAAAAGCTTTGTATTATGTCAACATCAAATCCTTTTGTTATAATTTCACACTAAAAAAAGCAGAATTTAATGTTGAAATAGGTTTTAGAGATATATGTTTACTTACTGAAATAGTATACCTGAGAGTTTAACTAGCCTTAGCCCACATTGAACATGTGCACCCTCTCTAGAGATAAAATCAATTCTTTGATGGAAATGGTTTTAATATATTTTCATTGAACAGAAAAGCAATAAGGCAAAGGATTGTCAGATAGTGTAGCTGTACTTTATGTTGTCTTATGCTCTAAAAAAGTGATGCTCTGTTGACTGAAAGTGATTGCTAGATATAAAAAGCTTCATTTTTTGCTTCAAATCTATTATCAAGTGGAAAAACTAAGCTTTCTGATATATTTTGGAGTCACCAAAATATCACGTGTGACTACAGTAAGTGTTATACATTTTCTGTCATATACAAAGCACATATGACTATTTATGCCACAACAAAGCCAATGTTAAAATAATGTATAAAACATAGAACTAGACTGTGTTCTGATTTTAATTATAAAAAGTTAAAAACATTTTTTTAGGCTCTGAAGATTTTTGTTTTGGAAAAACCCTGAATGAAAAAAAATACTGTAAAGGAAAGAGTTCCTTGGTTTTCAAAGGTATAGAATTCATAAAGAGAAAATGAAGGGGCGATTGAAAAAAAAAAATTAAAAAATTGAAGACCACTTCAAAGACTACTTCAATATCTAAGTTATAGACGCATTGTAAAGTTACTTCAGTATTTTCAATGCCTTTGTAATCACATCTGCTTGTGTTTAGATGGTGTGAAATTGTTCAGGTATATGTACTTTCTTATATTTAATTTTGAACTCTGCTCTGTAAACTTCCTTTACTGTATGTTCTTAATGCCAACTGCCTTATTCTGTTTAGGAAAGTCCCTTTCTTGGGTTCTACCTATAATGAATCAATCTACCATCAATCAAACTGATCTTCTGTGCCTAGGGATGGACTGATGTACTTACTTTGGCAAATACTTGGTGTTTTTTATGTCATAGAGTTGTGAGATAGTTTATTTCAAATAATTATCTTTTTTCCTCTGTGTAAAGTAAGCATTGTGCAAGCTAGGGGGGAAG